CCTCCTCTCAATCAATCAAATTCAAGGTGTTTCCTTTAATACTTCACCATAAAGGCGAGATTCTTAAGAGCAGTATAATAAAATTGATTTAAATTTACAAATTTATAAAATACAATTCATATATTTAAATATTTTTTTAAAAAAGGAATAGTTACAAAATAGTTTAAATCACGCTTGAGAAAAATGTATTTTATTAGACCGAGACCATAGGACGAACTTCGTCCATAGAATTTTTTACAATTTGGTGTTGTTTCTTTCACTGACTTTTAGGAGAGGGATAACCAATGTAGAACACAAACTTATTAATATTGTCATTTCAATAAATCATGGATGTCATTTGAGGGTGGGAAGGGGGGGGGGGGACCACACCTGGCTGGCTGTTTGGGTTGTTTATCTGGAGGTGCCACAGTACGTATCAATTTAAATAAGCATTGCCACATTATGATTTATTTTTTTATATTGTTAATTTTAAAATGAATTGAGTCATATGAGTGCATATATCTTTTTTTTCCTTATGTATTTTGTGCTACGTTTGATTTTCTGCTGTCATAGTCATAGATACTGATACCTAGTGGAAAAAAAAACCTTGCAAATTCAAATGATGTCAATTCTAATTTCTATGCCATTTTTATTAAACACAAGGACAAGGCCAATGCCAATACTAAATATTGAGAAATACTATACTATAGAGCTAAAGCCTAAGTATTATACATTATAAGTATAGTATAAACATATAGAGTAGAGAGGTATATTAAATTAAATAATAGCCTGTAGGCTGGTATATACGCAGCAGTACTTTATTTATGTACATATACTCATTAATAGGCCCATATTTATATAAACCGACTCTAACACTAGTATTTGTAACCACAGTTGATAAACAGGTTTCAGCTGATTGATAACTTTTAACTATTAACTATGACTATTTTGTATTTATTAACTAAACTTTGAAACTTTGACTGCTATTTAATGCTATTTAATGCAACTGGGGAAAAGATCATGACGATGTTCAAAAGTGGGAAAAAGTTATCAGACTTACTTGGTCATTTCCTTTAAATAAGTAGACAACAACACCAATAAGCCAGATGCCCGCTAGAAGCACTAGCAGTCGAAGTTTACGTCGAACCATCCAAACTGATATCGTGTCTCAATCCCTCTCCTTTACATTGTTGAGCTGTTAAAAGTAAAGTCCAATCCAATTTTAACCAATGAAATTTCAAATACAAAATTACTGCGCACCTAACATTGTTTCTACTTTCGCTTTCAATTCTTACGGTGTTGAGAGACTAATGTCGACGACATTTTGTAAAGATATATAATTATTTTATTTTTTTTTGAAATTTTCTTGTTCCTTACACATATAAAAAGAAAAAAAGCAATTTAGGAAAAGTATTTTTCAAATAAAAATAATAAATCATAAGATAAAAATATGTTGTTCACATGAAAGCTTAATATACTGAAAAGCATACAATATAGTAAAAAACAAAGTAGCACCATTTTAAATTATAAAGGGAAATAAGTAGCACTCGGTATTAAATGAAAACTTGTTAAACGACATAACTTAATCATAACAATTAAAAGCAATGGACATGTCACCCAAAAACATTTTTGGTAGATATAACCTCACAAGTATAATTTATTTAAAGGTAACAATTATTTAGAGCCGAAATGATAACAATGAAAAAAAAATGTTCTTCAATTTTCTTTCCAATTAATTTAAATTCCATGTGATGTTGGTGCTTTTACTTAAATAATCTGGTTAGAAAAGAAACGTTTTGAGTATTGTTATCTAAAATTTATTTTGTGGTTCAATACCGTATCTGACAATGGGATATATCATATCATAGGATAAAATTTCATGTTATTATTCAGAAAGTTGTTTTTTTTCTAAATTCCAAGTTAATAACACATAACGCGCTTCAGATTCACAGCACGGGCGTATTTAAGAATCAATCTTCATTTCCCTTCATTGAAACATCCCCATCATCAACTACAAAAATGGAAACAGACAAAAAGGGCAATCACGTTTACACCATCTGCAGTATCTATCGTCAAATTATCATTCGCGTCATCTTTCATGAAAAATGACACATCGTATTTAAAAGAAATCATCAACATTTCAATATAATAAATTAACGCGAAATCTTTGGACGAATTTTAGGTTAACCCCAGAGCCTTCGTGTTGGCCCTGCTACCACTGAGGCCGCAGGGAGGGCCCGAAGATATGATGAGAAAAAGTGGCAAGGGCCTCCACAAGTCACTCGACGTTCTGATAACACCATACATGTATAGTTATAACAAATTCACAGACATTTTTGAAATCATTGCCAAAGTAAACAGAATGGGGATGGTTGAACACCATAGAGAAGCAACTACCCTACTAACCCGTTATCCCACAATAGGTCGTCCATCCGCCGGGCAATTAAAATATAAGTTGTTGTTTTTTGTTGTTGTTGTTTTTGTTGTTTTTTTTTGGGGGGGGGGGGCAATTTTTATAGAAAAGTAATCCTTTTAAAACATACGAAAGTTTGTAATTTGTACAATACAAAAAAATCACTAACGATAGGGAAACGCCTCCCNCCCCCACAAACAAGCACTTAAAAAAAAAAAAACTTTATTGCAGTGAGGGACGGCAAAGTTAAGGATCACCCTGGGCGTCGCAAACCCTATCCTATTCTACTGGTAATCTACAAGAATATGCAGAGGCACTTCGCTTTGGGAAAGGGGTTCCGGAAGTATACGAACTGTATTTCATGTATTCTGATTGTGAGTAGCAATTTGAAGTAAAATTAAAAAGAATGTGTTGCTTTATTCGTCTATTTACAGTACAGCGTCGTGTATCATTTTTATTTCTACCGCCAACCCCTCGTGGTTGGGGGGCGGGGGAAAGGAGGGGGGGGCCGCGGACACTCTCACAAAGGGAGAGCAAAAAAACTAAAATTTAAGATGTGATAACATTTGGGTTACCATTCTTTAAACACTGAAAATCCACGCAGTCGATCTTGTTTAAAAGCACGGCCACGGGATTTGTTTAGAGAGGGAGTGGCGTGATGTAGATTGCAAGAGCTCACACACCCCCCCCCCTTTCCACCACTAGCATAGCCAGTAGGGGATCCGCTCCCCTCTGATGCCACTTGTTAAAAACTATTTTAAATGTAACACTAACACCTCAAAATGTACTTTTTAAACAAATACCCACAATCATACGAACGAAATGAAAGTTTCATCCACTTAAAATCCCTTTGTAATAATTTATGTGGTCTATTACTAGTAGAGTATTTACTAATAACATCTGTATAATTGAAAATGATTGTACCAATAACAACAAAAATTGGTTACAAGTACGGTACTCCGATACCAGATATAACTTGAAGGTCTGGTGCTGAAAATCTCCCTTATTCTCTTTCCTTGTTTCCTCTCTCGGCTTATTTGTGTCAAACAGAAACACCTAAGTCATTATCATCGTCAACATCATAATCCAAGGCCTCGTGCTCTTGGGGTCAGTATTAGTATTAGGGTTTCTCATTTCCCTGGGTTTCGCTTAAAATCTCAGAAATCGGGATTAAAGTTTTCTTCATTCCGGGATTTCCCGGGGAAATTCCGGGATAAAAATTTAATTTTTTAATTGACCGTTTTAAACTAAACAATAGTTGATTTTTATAATTGTTTAATTGTTATTGTCTATCAATATTTATTTTTTTAACAACGTTAAGGCTAGTTGAGAGGTTGGTCACTAGTTGTAACTTATTTTTTGGTTGGGAGTGGGGAGGGGGAGGGGCGAGCAGCATGTTAATTTCAAACTCTTATTCAACCTATTGCCTATTGCTATTGGAACGATTTTAAATTCAACCTGAAATAAATGTAATGATTAAAGTTTGAAATATTATTTTAGCTGTTGGTCTAAGCGTGATGCCTTAGGACTTAAAGCTGCAATCACAATGTGTCCATATTACTATTACTATTACTACTATTACACCAACATCCTAAATTGACATACGAGACCGATTTTTCGGTACTGACCATACTTGGGGGTGGTTTATCATTTCGCTACACTGAGTTAAATAAAGTGAGGTGGTATAGAGTATAGAGAAATGTATATCAATAATTGTTCTTTTTGCTTGTTGTTTTTATTAATCCCCCCCCCCCACCCCACAAAATTGTTTTTTTTTATTTCCGCTTTACAAATTTGCAAGATTCATATAGATTATTAATATTAAAAACGAAAATGTATTTTTTGCCTACAATTACAATAATTTGCATTTTTTATATGAAAAATTATTTCTGGCTTTTTGTTTCAAATTTGCTGGGTTTTTTTAATAACTTTTTTTAAAGGGGGAGGGGGGGTTGCTAGAAATGTTATATATTAGGGGCCATAAGGGGATGGTCAATGGAAATGTAACGTAGGGTTTGAGTCCAAATGACAAAAAATATTTTTGTTTTATAATATGTGCACAGTTTGCTAGCCTTAAGTGTGGATTTTTTCTTTGCGTGCGTGTTAGTTCCCTATTCTTTCTCTATATGACCTTGGTAAAACGACATTGGATGCCGGAGATTTCATACAACAAAGCAACAGTTTCAGTGAACTTATTGATTTAAGTAAAACATTGGTCAACACAGATTAATATCTTTAACAGTTGATGGATAGGCTTTCCCCATGGCAAATGATATAGTCCAGTGGTTGTCAGAGTGGGCGTTAACACCCCAGGCAGCGATGGCTTTGTCCAGGGGGCACTGAAAAGCTTGAGAAATTTCAGTAAGCCTTTCAGAGCTGGAGAAATTTCAGTTAGCCCATGACCATTAAATCGGGAAGATGTTTTCTAATTAAAATTATTTTTTTTCAAAGAAAGTTTATGTCTTATATAATATACCGCCGTCGTTTTGATTATTGGTGACAAAGAAAAGTTGATGATATATTTTTTTGCAAAAACGAAGAAAAGAAATTCTGTTTAATCAAGACAAACATGCAATTTATTGAGATGAAATAATTGATTCAAAATCAAGTAGCATACAAAAAAGATTTTAGCTAGATCATAAGTTTATGACACAGTGCTGGCCATAGCATGTTTTGTGCTATAGGCAAGACGAAAATATGCCAACCCTTATTATTAATCATAAATGTTGATCATTCATCTATTTTTACCAGTTTTCAGTTTTCTAAGAACCTGTCGCATTTATTAAGTATAAATCCAATTGATTAAAAATGTGCCATTAATATTTTTATTACCAGGTATAGCTTAACTTAACTCAAATTCTTAAATAAGCAAGTTTGTTATGGTGTTAAGGCTGTATTTAATAGCTGAATTTCTGACAAAGATGGTTTCTTGCTTTTGATTACATTAAACACAAACAATTTATGTCAATAAAACAATAATAATTTTACATAATATACAAGTAAACGTTTTCTTGCTTTTGCAGAGCACTTAAAAATAAGTAGGCAACGAAACAAAAACAAAAAAATGGTGTGATGACAAATTTATGAAAGTGTTAAGATAATCTATTAATGAACAGTTTATTTCAATAAAAATGTGCTTATTTCACTTCAGCAAATGAAAAATCCTGAAATATTTCGGTCATAAAAAAAACTTCTGCAGCAGTTCTTTCTAAACCAACCAAACAATCTTGAGGCTATGTAGAACAAAAATATGTTCATAAATGTGAGCTTCAAAAAAGTTCTCACAGCACTTGCAACTGTTTTATGGAAATATTAGCAAAATTCCCATAGCCACGTAAACATTTGGAAAAGGATTAACCAATCCCATTTGACGTGGATACGGTACTTGATTCTGAATCTTTGTTTGGGGATGCTAAAGTCAATAAATGGCCCATTCCTACTCTTTTATCATATTTCTTTAACTTTTTTTCATGTCAAAAGTAAATCCAAATAAGTAACTGCAGGATGATAATTGCACAAACAGATCATTAACAGAATACATTAGGGTAATCAAAATCTGGTTAAACTTAACATAAAAAATTCTTCTCAGGGGCATGAATTAAATGACCTGCACCTCAAATGTCAATTAGTCTCGTTTTAGTTGAGAGTTTTCCCTGTCTTTCCTGTGGGGAAATTGCACTTCAATACCTAGTTCTTCTTCCATTGGTGGCCCCAGAGTCATATTTAATGTGTTTGCTGTTGTAATGCTTTAGCAAGGACTTTATCTGTAAAAAAATTCCATTAAACTGTTCAATTGATTTAAAATCATTATCATTTTCTTGAAATGTATATTGACCAGATATATTGACCTCAAATGAAATATTAAACCATTAATGAACAAATGAACTTGCAATAGAGTATTTTTTTTTGTTGAAATTCCCATAGTATCTGCATGTGAGTGAGTTCATAGTTAAAGTCAAAAATTGAAACGAGTGCATTGTACATTTTAAATGTTTTGTATTGTATTACTTCAAAAATGAGTAAATACATATTAAAAGCTTTTATTGAATTAGAAGACGCATCACTACAAACAGGGCTGGAAGTTAACAACCAAAAAACTAAACACATGTTAAGAGAAGAACAAGCAGATGAAACCGTTAAAATTAGAAACTGCACTTTTGAAAAAGTAATAAGTTCAAATACCTAGGATCCTTAATAAATGAAAGAAATGAATTTTGGCCAGAAACAGGGACACTTTAGTCCTCACAAAATACTCAAAAGTAAACAGTACAAGAAAAACTAAGAACGCTACAAATAAAATTGTCATCAGATTATTTGTAACATTTGCAGTTGAAATTTGGACTTAAACAAAAACGGCAGAAAACCTATTACACACATGGGAGAGAAAATATATGGACCAACAAAGGATGAATATGGATGGAGAATACAAACCAACCTGGAATTGTATAGTCTATATCAGGATCCAACGCTGGTAGCTCAAATAAAATGGAAAGGCTAGGCTTGGTGTGACACTTAGAAAGAATGCCAAATGACAGAAGAGTGAAGAGGGTGCACCACCGAAGCCCCAGAGGAAAATGGTTCAAAGGCAGACCTAGGCTTAGATGGATGGATGATGTGGAAAAAGATCTACAGCAGCTGGGAATCTAAGCATGGAAAAGAAAAGCATCAGTTAGCTCTAAGTGGAAGGAAGTGGTATCGCGAGCCAAATCCCTACATGGGCTGTAGTGCCACAGGGATGGATTGTATTACTTCCACATCCTTCCACAGCATTAAAAGCAGTGGCATAACTATGGTTTAGTGCCACCCAGCCAAGCCAAAATTTTTGCAGCGCCTTCCTAGAAAAAAACCAAAAAAAACATACAGTTGGCCCAAAAATGCAGCCTATCAATTAATGAAATAAATGCTCCTCAGGGCGCATGTCCTAAAATTAAAAAAGAAGGTGTCTTAGTCCAGAATTTGTTCACAGTAAGTGTCATTCTGATACAGTGGCCTCTGTGTTATATTCTTTGCGGATCATGCATAGTAAAACACAATACTTAATGATGATTTGTCCATTATGTAAATGGTTAAACCCCACACTTAAAAAAAATAAAGTGCTATATCTACAAAAAAAACAATGGAAACTCACCCATACATTTATTTCTGGATGTATTGGAAATTCTTTACTTTGATTTGTGTCACCTTACACTCTGGCAGCATTTGATCTTAGTTTGAACCACATTTTTGGGTCAGCTGTACAACTCTCACAAACAATGTCACCATCTTCATTATAAGACAAGAAACAGTTGTTGTGACCAATTAATGCCATCTTGCCCTGAAAATACACACAAAATATATCATATTGCATTATAATATTAACATAACAGATTATATTTTTTAAAATAAATTGACCACTATTATAAGTTATAATGCAGTTTAGATAAAGTTAAGCAACGTTCACTAGTAAAATTATTTTTTTTAAAATAAATTTGTACGATACTGGAATATCTTATATGGTTCATTAGCAGTACTTGAAACAAAAAATAATGGTAGAGTTAAGATTTTGTTATTTAGACACACCAAGTTGAAATAGAAATTATTTAAATCTTTTAAATGTATTATAAATTTATCAAGATTATTTGAAGAATAATGATTTAAAGAAGTTGAGGTAGCCTACTGTTTATCAGCTGTCCTTGAAACAAAAAAAAATTGTTCAGTTAAGATTATGTTATTAGACACACAAAGTGGAAATAGAAATTATTAAACTCTTTTAACTTAAAAACAATATTATATTTTTTACAAACCTGATATGAAAAATATATATTTTAAGGTTGTCTTTATTTTAATGAAATCTAAAACCATAATGATACAAAATTAGCTTGAATCAGCCATTAAAGAGTATATTAAAATACAGATGATGTACATTTATTTATAATACCAAAAAATAGTATTACTAACTCCCTGAAACAAAGGTTCGAACTGTTCCCTGGTCCCAATAGTCTCAGCTATACTGACAACTCTACCATCAGTTTGTAAACTCCAGTATTTGCCATTCACAGACTTGAAGGCAATTTTTGATGTATCTATCCTAATGATTGTGAAAATATCAGCAGGATTGGTGGGTCCATCTACTGTGAAAACAAAAGGAACTGAAATTACATTTTTTAAATTTGTTAATAAAGCGGCTTATGGCCAAAAATAACATAACTTTATGATAATGTAGCCGAGAGATGAGGTGAGGCTATGATAATGCAGGCGAATGGAGATGTGAAGCTATGATAATGTAGCCAAGTGGTGATCAGAGGCTATGATAATGTAGCCTAGTGGTGATGTAAAGCTATGATAATGTAGCAGAGTGGTGATGTGAGGCTATGATAATGTAGCCGAGTGGTGATGTGAGGCTATGATAATGTAGTAGAGTGGTGATGTGAGGCTGACATTTTTTGAATAATGTTTATTTCATAAACTTGAGAAAATGGGGTCTTAATGACTATAATTTTATTTGGTTCTATAAACAAAGCCAAAGAAAAATCTAAAGAAAAAGCTTAAAAAAAAAGTCTAAAGAACAACGACAATCCAAAGCGTCCAATTGGGCCGGTGAACAATGACACACTTTGGGAATGTGATTAAAACTTTGAATCAAAAGTCCTTAGCACACCCACTACAAAGAAAAATGTACAGACAGACTAGAGAGCTTGTATGTCATACATTGACCAAGAGAGGTTACTTGCCTTTTGGCAGATTTCCTGTGGTAAAATGACACCCCTAGAGACTAAACCTGAATAATAAATAGTCTACGTCCTGGACCAAAACCATAAAGACTTATCCGTTTCCATTTTGTCTCGGCTGTCTAAGATACACTTTGAGATATTTTAAATAGAAGGGTTTGGGACCCCTTATAGATGAATGTGAAAATCCTCTTTCCAACTAGATTTAATGCATAGAATAATACACTAGGGTTCCAGAGAAATAAATTATTGAACATATACAAAAAGCACACACAGTGGTTCCAAATCTTTAAGTATTCTAAGCAATGGGGGTGAAGCTGTACATACCATGTCTTGACATCCTAACCCCGAGGTCAAATTCCAACAGTGTTGGGTGCTAAACACTGTTTCTTAACAGCGTGGCCTGCAAACTACAATACCACAATGACAAGAAATAATTAACATGCATTTTAATGCTGGGTTTTTATTAAAGTTGATGCTCACCTGAATCCTTGTGATTCCAAAGTTCCAAGGCCCCATTGTCCAGGACTGTGATGTAAGTCTGTGCTTCAATTTCAATGGCAACAATGGCTGGAATGTCTGTAAATTTCTCTACCTGCCACCATCCTTCTGTCATAAAGAAAATTTATCTTATTTAAAAACAAAAATCATGGGATTCATTACCCGGCATATTACTTTTGTTACATAAACTTCTTGTTTCTTATTCTCATCTCCTTAGCTTTAAAAGTAATTTTTTAAATTTGCCAATTATAAAAAAAAATCTGTGCTGTAATTTTAAAATAAAATGTATTTAATGTTATGCATAACTTAATTACTGTACTGTATAAAAAAGTCTTTAAAGGGTGATTTACCTACCATGATTTGAGGTCTCTTCCATCTCTTTAGGATGTAAAACTATATCTTCAGGGGTGTAGATATGTTTTCTATTTTTACTAATGGGATTTTTAAAATATGAAAAAAAAGTCTCTCACTCAGATTATAGTTATTTAATGCTTGTAAATATGAGTACAGGTATATAACTGTTAATTATAATAATGAAATCGTAAGTTACAATACATTGTCTTTTTTTTTCTTTAAATGTTCTAATCATTGTCTCATACCTTTTGGCCTGAAACTGTACTTCAGGATCTCCATGTGTTATTTTTTTAACAGAAATTCGATCCTGTAATTTTGTCAGTTCACACTTTAAATTGTCAACATCTGATTCAAGTTCTTGGATCCTTTCTTCTTTTATTTGAATTTCCTCTGTTAAAGTTTCAATTCCTAAACTTCTTTGAGCTAAATTATATTGTGTCGTATGTTGCATATTCTCTTTCCCAGTTAAGGATTTTAGTATATTCACTTCAAGTTTTAAGTTCAAATTTTCTATTTTTAAAGCTTTTTTTCCCCTTCTTAACTTGTCTATGGCTGCATCCTTTCTTTTCATACTTTGATTCACAACTCTGACATTATAGTTTTTTGACATTTCTCTTAAATTTTTTCGTGATGATCTGAGTTTAACCTTCAGCTCTGATATGGCCATCATGTAAAATTTTCTTCTTTTAGAACACTTTTCACAATCAGTTTTGAGTTGTTTTTCTGGAGTTTGTGGTAGGTTATCAATTTGCTGATGAGCTATCTGTGGATGAAAACATTCATCTTGTGTGCTTAGAGCTATATCAACAGAGCTTGTGGACAACTGCTTCTTCTTAGTAACTGGTGCCTTAAGGGGCTGTAGCAAAAAATTCTGAATAACAATCCAGTTTTGGTTCAATTGTTTTTTCCAACTGCGGAGCCTGTCTTCAAATTTTAATAGACTAGAATGTATGGCATTCTTGTTAGACAGATAGCTACCGGTACTCTCCTTTTGCTGAAAGTACTCAAGCACAGACACTGTAGCTTTAATACCTTCCTTCTTGTTGGTGCTGCTGCTATAAAGATGGACAGCATACCCATTCCTATACTCCTTTGTGGCCGCATCTTGGGCAAAGCTTACCACAAAATTATTAAAATCAGAAATTTTTACCCTTGCAGACATTCTAGAAATCCAAGCTGAGGGATAAAAAAAAAATTCTACAATCTCTATCTATGCCTCAAGTATTTTTAATATTACATTATTGACATGAGTTGAAAAATTAAAAGAGCCGGAAGGCAACATCTTTTTCTTCTTGGTACCTGACACTTTCATATGCTGAAAAAGAAAGGTTCTGGATTATCGTCAAGCTTAATTTTAAATGTTTTTTTTTTAAGAAAAGGTTTTTTGCACCAAGTTAAACAAACTGTTACGTTTCCCACTTTTGATGGACACATAGATGACCTCATCAAGTACAGACACAGCAGCTTTAATGCCTTCCCTCTTGTTGGCACTGCTGATCACTGGTATAAAGGTAAAAGGCGTAGCCATTCTTATACACCTCAGTGGCTGCATCTTCACCAAAGCTTGCCACTATGCTGTCAAATCCTGAAGGTTTACAGACATTGTCTTGATAACTGAAACCAGAATATTTTCTTTAAACTCTTAGACTACCGGTACCGGTATTTGACTTATTACTATTCCGATTATGGGATAAAAATAATATTACAATTACCTTTTTTTTAAAATATTTATTGAACATTTTCTTCTTCTTCTTCTATATTCTGAGGGCCCATGACCTATGTATTGATCATTCTGGCTTCTAGTTTTGTTAAATATTATAAATTGTAGACATACAATTAGAGACTGTCCGAAAGTGATTTTCTGATTTCGGCCAAAGCCTAAATCAGGCCGAAATTTAAAAATGACTTTTGGCCGAAACCGAAAGTAAACCGAAACTTAACTTTTGAGTTTCTGCCAAAACCGAAATTAAACCCAAAGTTAACTGTTCAGTTTCGGCTGAAACCGAAATATTTAAATACCGGTACCGGTATTTCAAAACTCGTTTTCGCACGCTTTCTGCTCACCGCGAAAAATGATGGAACAACTTTTGTGGCAATTTGTATTTGTCTTAAATGACTCCCATACAATTTATGGAAAGAAGTGAACCTTCTCTCCTTCTTTGGCTTTTGTCATGTGCATTCAAAAATAATTTAAAGCTGATAAAAGAAATAAAATTTAAATTAGCATTGTAATTTAAAAATTTGACTGTGGGAAGAGCAAAAGTCATGCAAAATAGACCCTTCTTTTAAAATATAATTACAACTCTAACTAAACATATAAAGGGCATCAACCGAGAGCTTAGGTTATCTATTGTTTAATGGTGTCACCCATTAAAATGTCCACACACAAGACTTAAAGAAACTCTTTTCTTCTGAGAACCCATACATTTTTTGTTGACACTCGTGTTCTTATTGGTCGACCTGAAATTGTTTGTTTATAGGCAATTATCAATTGTCAGCTTATTTTAGATTTGACCTTGATTGAACAAAAGTTTACTTATCAACAGACTTACAATAAGAAAAAAAATTTTTGATGAAGAACCTTTAGCCTTTGTAAAAGGAATTATGTGTTGATTTGCCTTGTGAGCTTTGTTTCCAAGTGACTTCTATTACATTCACACATGTATTGTAAATGATATTTTTAACAGAGTCAGAAAATGTGGAGGTAATATTTAGTAGCCTAACTCCAGTGGGTATTATATTTTGGATTATAAATTAATTTTTTTTTTAATCGTTTACTTCTTTTATGTGATAAAAAATTTTTAAATGTCTTTTTCAATAAATTTCAGTCAATTAATGTACCATTTGTTTCAGGGGCGTTAATTCAATCTATTATTACATCAATTACATAGAAAAAACCCTTTTTTAGAAAAAAACACTCATATATTTTATGATCTTGGGAAATTTTTAAAAAGTGAGTGGCCGGGCATAGTAAAAAACAGACACTTCAACATTGTCGCTACTAGGAGTGATATCTTAGGTATCAACTGTCTCTTCTTCGATATAGGTAGGCCTACATGCACAGGCAGCAGTAGCAAATCTTCTATAAAATTACAGCTTTTAACAACATTTTTGCACATAATTACCATATGATTCTTGGAAACATTTAACTCAGTGTCTCTGTACCAACCTAAGTCATTTAGGGTAGTGGTCCCCAAATGGCGGTCCCTAACGCTGCCGGTCCCCATAACATAAATAATTATTGTCAAATAGAAATAAAAGTATAAAAATAGATCAGGCACCAGTCCCTGGTAAAATTTCGAAACTTATTCACCGGTCCACTAAACTTAAAAGTTTGGGAACCACTGATTTAGGGTTCAGGTTAGGTTTAGGGATACATTTAGGGTTCAGGTTAGGTTTAGGGATACATTTAGTTTAGGTTTAGTGACAAAATTAACTTGTCGTGTCAACCAAGATGGCGGCCATCGCGGGACAATCTCTGTACATTTACCTCGAACACAACCCTGGAAGGCACAATCTTTTTTTCCTTGGCAACTGGCGCATTAAAAGGCTGAAACAAAAGATCCTGTATTCTCATCCATTTTAGAGTGAAGTTCTTTTTTAAAGACAATATATTGGTAAACAATTGTTGACACTTAGTACGTATTCCATTCTTATTTGACACATAGTTGAGATCTTTCTTAATAAAGACCTCATCAAGTGCAGACACTGCAGCAATCATGCCCTCTTTCTTGGTGGCACAGCTGGTATACAAATAGAATGCATAGGCATTCCTATACATGCCAGTGGCTGCATCTTGGGCAAAGCTTGCCACCAAACGATCAAAATCCTGAAGGGTAACAGTTACAGACTCAGACATTCTCAATATCGCTGGGGAAAAAATCAAAAGAAATTATGGCAATAATTTTACTTTTAATTTTGCGTAATTTATAAATAATAATAATTAGATCTATTATTAATTAATATTTCCAAAATGTTACATTATTATATTTTTACTACTATAATTAGTATATAAAGATTATTCCTAAAATTAGATTCATATTTAATTTATTCATAGCAGTTGACTTGTCTGGTCTTAAACTTAAACTAACCTAACTAAGCCTACTAATATCATGTTTATTTATTACTTAGTTAAACTTATTATTACTATTTAACTATGTTTATTGTATTTTGCACATTAATATTATATATAGACAATTCTCGGCCTTTTATAATAATAAAAAAAAAATAAAAAAGCAAGCTTCAACAATCAATGGAAATGTAAATGGAATTTTTATAATTTTAATCATCAAATCAGTTTCTGTAATATTTTTATAATGATAATATCTGGGTAAAAGTGCAGTTCAGGTGCGTATATTATTTCTGTTTCAATCTCTTATTTTCCTGTGTAAACTTATGTTAATTCTTTATAAAAAGTATTTTAAAAGTTATATACCATCTTTTTATTGGAATACAACAATTTAACAAATTTTACCAGATAAAAAAAGTACATTTTTATGAATCTTTCGTGTTTTACGGAGCAGTTGTGGTAAATCAAGGATAACTCTTCTGTCTTTAAAGATACTTTATAAAAGTTGCCCAATTGGATGAATCTAGTTAAAATAAATGATGTATTTAATTTATAACTTTACTATCAACTATAACCGGAGTTGCCCGGGGCTGCATTCAGAAAAAAAACATCTGCTACGTCCTTTTAGTTCACATTGTTATTAAACGAAATGTCAAAAACAAAACAACAACACTATAGTAAAAAAAAATAAT